TTCCTTCCTTCCTTCCTTCCTTCCTTCCTTCCTTCCTTCCTTCCTTCCTTCCTTCCTTCCTTCCTTCCTTCCTTCCTTCCTTCCTTCCTTCTGTTTTGGGGATTTTTTTTGATGATAACGGTCTCCTTTCTTATTTTCTGCCAAAGTTAATGACAGCAATTTCATTGACTTCATCATTAAAAATTCACATTAACTTTAATGGTCCTTTTGCATAACAATATTCAGCCTGGTTAAAAATGTTGGACCATGTGTACCTAATTGATTATAATTGGAGAAATCTATGGGAGTTTTCAAGTTCTCATGGCAAATGACCAATTTCAAATGTTCTTTGTAAATGTGTCCTTAAAGATTACACAAAGTAGCTATATAATATACTGACTCAAGTGGTAGGATTAATCTAACTTCGCTTACCAATGTAGAAAATATATTCACTTTATTACTCTTTAAATATGCACACGTAATTACGTTTTTTCTAATTTCTTTTCCCCTTTCATTCCTCTTATTTTCCCCCTTTTTCTGTTTTCCATTATGAGGTAATGCAAAGGATTAGGCATACAGTGAGTTGTTACATGTTTTTGTGTCTTTATCTTTCCTCAGATGAGTAGGTTACTTTTTTCACCTGTTACTTCCAGGTCTAGATAGTTGAGAGCATCAGTGATGCATAAGCTACAGATCCATATTCATATTCAGATACCAATATCATATACATCCAGATTCAGTGGCTATCAGGACTTTACTGAATAAAATTAGTGATCACTTTTTTAGATAAAACTGCTGATAAACTTATACTGACAATATCAAAATGGAATTGAGGCTTTTGTTAGTTTCTCTAGAAATAACTATTTTTCTACTCATACAGAGGAATAAAAAGGGAGTTTTCTAACTGGTTATTACCAGAAAAAGCAATCAATTTTAACAAGGCTCTCTATAGAGCTTTTCTTTTTCTTTTGGGTGGGTACTTTTCTGATAATTTTGCATATATCTTAAAAGTATTTGCATGTTTTGACTCCTTTGCATAAACAGTAGGCAATATAATTTCAAAATGATTTGCATGTGCTTATTTTGCAGTTCAATTTTTTCTCTGTCATCTACCTCTTGATTACGGTTTGGAGACTTGTATGATCCCAGAAGAATATAGTTAACTAAAGTGTACAGGTAGAACTTGTACAGTTTATTCAGAAGTCTCCCAAATATTTGAAGCCACTTACAGTTAAATTTTTTTTACAGGCATTGCATATTTATGACCATATTCTTTGTTTCTGTCAGCTGACATTTTTTTATAGACTGTCTTCTGAAGATTTTCTGGTGTAGTTTTTACACCCATAAAGCAATTTTAAAAATCCATGTTACATTTAAGCATAAAAGTCCTGTCGCCCTTCCTGTGAGATGCTGCCTCTCCTTTTTTCCTTTTTTTTCTTTCTTTCTTTTTTTTTTTTTTTTCTTTTCCACTTTAGTTAATGGAAACTTATGTTTGCATCCCTGAAAAAAAAAAAAAAAAAAAAAGTGTTTCTCAGATTTGTATATAACCTAAAATTTTAGCAATCCCCCCTTTTTTTTTTGTAAGGCAGCTGGCGATGATGATCACAAAAAGTTGGACTGGGGCCAAGGCACTATGGTTGTTCTTTACATGCTGCTTATAAGAATACGCGTGATTTTTTCTTCAAAGATATTCTTCTTTTTAGTCTGTAAACTATTCTTGCCTTCTAAGAT